GAATTGATGCTTTTGAACTGGGGTGTTGGAGAAGACTCTTGAGAGTCCCTTGGACTGCAAGGAGATCCAACCAGTCCATCCTAAAGGAGATCGGTCCTGGGTGTTCATTGGAAAACTGACGTGGAAGCTGAAACTCCAATACTTTGGCCACCTGATGTGAAGAGCTGACTCATTGGAAAAGACCCTGATGCTGGGAAAGATTGAGGGCAGGAGGAGAAGGGGACGACAGAGGATGAGATGGTTGGATGGCATCACCCATAGACATGGGTTTGGGTGGACTCTGGGAGTTGGTGATGGACAGGGAGGCCTGGCTTGCTGTGGTTCATGGGGTCTCAAAGAGTTGGACATGACTGAGTGGCTGAACTGAACTGAGGTCGTGTCCAACTCTTTTGTGACTCCATGGACTGTGGCCTGCCAGGCTCCTCTGTCCATGGGATTTCTCAGGCAAGAATACTGGAGTGATTGGCCCTTTCCTTCTCCAAGGGATCTTTCCAACCCATGGATCAAACCCATGTCTCTTGTGTTTCCTGCATTGCAGGCAGATTCTTTACCACTGAGCCACCAGGGAAGCCCATGGCAGGGAGTGGGTTGGGGTGGGGGCACAACTCAACCATGTGCTCCCCCCTCCTGTTCACTCTCCAGACTGTTGCCCCTGGCTCCACACCACCTCTGCTGAAGACAAAATGACCTCATGGTTGCCCAGTCTGATAGATGCCTCCTGTCCTTACCATGAGGGCCTCACTGCCACACCACTGACTACCCAGTCCTTCCCCTCCTGGTCTCTTCAGTTGCACAGGATTCTGGATCTTGGGTAGTCCCTCCTCAAACTCCTTTAGGGCTTTGCACCTCCTCCTTGGTGTCGCTCAGGCTCAGCACTCAGCCTTCTTATCTTGCCTCCTAACCAAAACCCCCAGCTAACCATCTATGCCCTGCCTTCAACATCCACCACTATGCAGACCACCCCAGAAAGATTTCTCCAGCCCAGACATTTCTCCTTACTTGCAGATCTGACCACGCCACTAGCTGTCCCCCAGTGCCTCCAATGCCAAATTGACCCAACCAGACTTAACCCTTGTTTCCCAAAGTCCCACCTCTATCGATCAGTCCCTAAGTCCCCCAGAGTCTCCTGGAGTTAAAATTATCTTTCAGGGACTTCTCTGGTGGTCCAGTGCTTAAAGAATCTGCCTTCCAATGTAGGTGCGCGGGTTCGATCCCTGGTCGGGGAACTAAGATCCCATGTGCCATGGGGCAACTAAGCCTGTGTGCCACAACCAGAGAAAAGCCCTGGCACCACAACAAAGACCCAGTGCAAACTAATTCATGAATTCAATTCTCTTTCAAAGGGATCCTTTTTGTTCGGCCTCTAGGGTCACTCTACTTCCTTCCACAGTTTCTCATCTCCCTGCTGCGTGACTTTGCCATCGACCTCTGCCTCCTCTTCCCTGTCTTATCCTTCTTCTCCCTGTCATCCACAATGTTCCCAAAGAGATCTCTAGGACAGCCAGGTACAACAAGGTTTAGAAGCACTCAAAGGCCTTCAGGAAAAAGTCCAAACGCCCTCAATGTGACGTGAGCTGCTCCTTATGATCCGGCCCCTGCTCACCTCTCCCACTTCTCCTTCCATGAGAGCTGTTTTGACTCTGCTGACACTTTGCAGCCCCCTGAACAAGCGAAGGTGCTCTCTTCTGTCTCCTTTCTCCTGGCTGTTCCCTGTGACTTCAGTGCCCTTTCATTAGCTCTTGACCATTGCAGCCATCTAACTGTGGCTCCCCTTGCATCCTTGGAGACCTCCTGGTGGTCTTTCTGAGCACTCCAGAATGACCTGGATCTCCCTTCCTGCCCTCTTCAGCACTGTGTACATACTGTAATCATCAGTCAAGGCTTTCAGCTTTAAATCCCCAGCACCCAGTCCACTGCCTGGCACCTAACCCAGGTTCAGTCATCATCATTCAACAAGAATGTCTAACTCGGAGGAGTACAAAGGAGAAGCATGAGGCCCAGGAAACTGTCTAAGGTCAAACAGCCAGTGACAGTGGCACTGAGGTTCAGCCTGGCTCACATCTTAAGATTTTTGTCTCCACTCCAGTATTTTCCTCAGTTGAAGTGGGAGGATGATTGCACCAGAACCACTCGGGAGCTGGTTAAATACGCAACTTCACAGGCCTCACCTTAGACCCAGATGAGTCTGTGTTTTAAACAAGCTACTCCATGGCTAATTCATTTCAATGTATGACAAAACCCACTGCAATGATGTAAAGTAATTAGCCTCCAACTAATAAAAATAAATGGAAAAAATAAATAAATAAATAAACAAGCTACTGTGGTGATTCTTATGAACAGAGTTTGAGAACCAATACCCCATCCTCTCTGCCCCGTCTGAAAGGCTTTAAGTTCATCACAATTTTTTTTTTTTTTTTTGGCTGTGCCATGTGGCATGTGGGATCTTAGTTCTCCTACCAGGGACTAAACCTGCATCAGAGGCATGGAGTCTTAACCACAGGACCACCAGGGAAGTCCCAGTCATCACGTTTTTTATGGCCAAGTTGGTAGCTATCTGCTTGGTGACAAGCAGTCCTGCTCCCTTACATTTTCACTGAAAGTGATCATTTGTTGGAGTCTTGTAGCTTTTCGATTTTAGAGTCCACTGTTAGGATTCAAATTCTACTTGCAGAATCAATGGTGGTAGAAGGAGGGAAGGAGGGGCTCCAGGAGGAAGTAAAGCAGTCTTGTGTTGTCAGAAGTAGCTGGGAGTGAAGGGGAAGCAAGTATCACAGGCAAATAGGACTCTGAGAAAAGGTGTTCTTTATGATTAGTTTTTTATTCTCAAATTTTAGCATGCATCAAAATCACCTGGAGGGCTTACTAAGATGCAGCTACCTATGGGACTTCCCTGGTGGTCCAGGGGTTAAAAAATTTGCCTTGCAATGCAGGGGATGCTGGTTTGATCCCTGGCTGGGAACTAAGATCCCTTGTGCCTCGGGGCAACTAAGCCTGCTTGTCACTACTAGAGAGAAGCCCCGTGTACTGCAACGAAAGATCCTACATGCTGCAACTAAGACCCAGTGGAGCCATATATAAATAAATATATTTTTTTAAAAAGATGCAGATACCCTGATGCTCCCCAAGCTTCTGACTCAGTAAACCTGGCAATGGGGTTCAAGAAGTTGCATTTCTAACAAGCTCCCAGATGATGCCGATGCTGCTGGTCCAGGAAGCACACTTTGGGAACCGCTGAACTAATTCACCCAGGTGGCTCAAGTGGTAAAGAATCTTCCTGCCAATGAAAGAGACACAGGTTCGATCCCTGGGTCAGGAAGATCCCCTGGAGAAGGAAACAGCAACCCACTCCGGTATTCTTGCCTGGAGAATTCCATGGACAGAGGAACCTGGCAGGCTACAGTCCATGGGGTTGCAAAGAGTCGAACATGACAGAGTATGTATGTATGTACATACGAGCTAATTCAACCTTTATGCCCCATGCAATCATTTATTCTGTAATATCCACGGAGATCAGGATGTGATCACCTTGATTTCTGCTTAAACCAGATACAGATCTTGTTACATTTCAAGCTAGAGTGTCTATGAAAAACTCTTATGATTCTTCTTTGAATGGAATGGAAATTCGTCTCCAAACCTTCCACACACTTATCCCAGGCCTGCCTCTTATATTCTCACAGATGCATCCAGCTAGGTCTTCTCCACCTGTCCTTAACTACTCGACTTTTTAACTTAAGATTTTAATCTTTTTACATGTAATTCTATGGGGGTTGCCCATTTTTATAGATTGCAACCCATACCTTAGTTATGAGGTGATAGTGGCAGGGCTGATAAAGGGATGACAGACCCCAAATATGCACTGACTCATTTTACAACTTTGCCTGGGGGTTGCTCAGACTTTATTCAGCCCAAATAGCCACTGAGAAGTGACACTGCAATCTCCACACTCATGGCTGTCATCTATCGCAATGTTCCTGGATCAGTCCTAATTTTGAGAATTCTATTGTTACAGACCCACATGAGTCTAATTTTGGGGTCAGAAACTATTATCAATGTAAGTGTGGCCTTTTCTCCAGGTGTTTACAGTGTAACAAGAGAGGACAATTATTTTGTGTGGTTTAGCTGATTGAGGGGGACAGTAAAAAGAAAAAGATGGAGAAAAGTTGAGAGGTTACAATCAGAAATTCAACACCAAGGATAAAAATTAAATCATTCAATTTTGGTTCAGTTTTCCAAAAGCAGAAGTTCTGCTCATTGCAATGATGGGTTCACTGAGGTATCTGAATTCCTCATTGATTTAGCAATCTTAGTGGATGCCAAATATTTTGAAGATATTATTATTTTGCACTCCCTCCTGGAGCATGTGATACCTTTGTCTTTGAGAACTACAAAGGATGAAGGTTCCTCCGAAGTCAAGAATAAAATAAACGTAAATAAAACGCTGAATGGAAAAGGCAGAAGTCTCTATGTCAACTCGTGCTGACATCAGAGTCTTCTAAGTGATGTGGGTTTTCAACAGGGAAAGTACCCAGCACAGACATTTGAAGAAGATTTTAGAGCGCGGTTTGTGACTCTGACTACCCGGGAGCTTAAAATATGGCAGTAAGAAGAAAGGAGTGCGCCGAGCTCCCGGGACCCCGAAGGGAAAGGAGAGAGGGGAATTTGTTGTATCTCCTTCATCCACGGACGTTTCAAAGCAAGACTCTTGCGGTAACAAAATTGCACTGCGAAAGTAGCGTGTCATTATCTGCTGTTCAAGATGGGGACACGTAGACAGGGAATGGCCTCCAACACGAACAACTTTCAAGTAGCACCGCTGAGCCTCCACTGCACAAAGCGGAAAACTGGCCTGCTTCCACCACGCTTCATGAAAATGGAGAGAAATCTTGGTTTCAATATTTTCTCGTGACTTGAACCGAAAGTTAAAAGGGGACTTTTAAATTGCACATCGCTGCTGATCTTACCCACGATTAATGACTAGTGTGTATGGGAAGAGCGGCGGAATGGAGGACCGCTACCGGGTGCAGAGCGCCGGGAAGGAATCGTGGGGTGTGGGAGCCGGAGCGTCCGGGGTTCGGCCCAAGAGCAGTTTGCCGGGTGGGGGCAGGATACTCGCGCTCCCGGGAAGGGGATGTCTCCCGGGGGCGGTTACACAGCGAGGCTTCTTTGGCTCGCAGCAGGGCGCTCCCGGGGGAGCGGTTGTGCACTGGGGGACGGCTGAGAGGCGCGCAACGAGCAGGATGCTCCCGGGCCCAGGCCGGCGCGTGTACGTGTGTGTGCACGGTGGGGAGGTGCAGGGCGTGTGCACGGCGCGGGCGGGACGCGCGCCAGTGCGGCCGCCGAGCTCCGCTGCAATACAAGGCCAGCGCCGCCGAGTGAAAATACCGCGCAAAACCCTGACTCGGGAGCCGCTGGGGGCCGGCTAGGGGAACCAAGCGGACGCGCACGGCCGGGCCCTCACCCCGCGGCTGAGCGCGCTAATGCGGTGTCGCAGCACCCTTAGACGAGGAAGGAAGCCGCATGAATTTCCACGCACCCCAAGGAGACCGCGAGCCCCAGGTACTCCCACGCGCCCGCGCACGACGAAGCGAAGCGCGTACCCGCTCGCACCCTGGCGCGCTCCCCGCGCGGTCTGTGGAAAGACAGCTAGGGCGGGTATTAAGGGGGGTAGAAGGGGGTGTGGCTTGGCTGGAACTAGCCAATGGGCCGGGGAGGGGCGCGGGGGGGCGGAGCTCGTGTTCAGAGCGCCGATTGGTCAGTTGGCCCTCCGGTATGCAGATACGGTGAAGTCACGTGCCAGGGGCCGGGACGACTTCCTGTTGGAGGCCAAGGCGGGGCGGGGAAGGGGGCGCGAGCGCCCCGTCTGGCTGAAGCGGGGGGAGGGGGGTTCTTGTCAGTTAGAGCAACAAGATGGCCGCGGTGGCACCTCCGCACCTCAGCGCGACGGCCCTGGGAGCCGCAGCCGCCGCCGTCGGCCCCGTCGCCCCGCAGCCCTGAGCGTCGCCCCGGCCGCCCCCACCGCCCCTGACAGGGCCGTCCCCGCGCCCGCCGCGCTCCTGCCGCCGCCGCCGCAGCCGCGGGCCCGCCCGAACCGGAGGCGGAGGGAGCGCAGCCGGTCGAGCGCAGAGCGCAGAGCTCAGCCTCCGCCGCCTCGGATCGCGGGCCGCGCCGGAGCCGCCGTCCCGCCTGCGGGCGCAAGGAGGAGGGCGCGTCGCGGCGTCGCCGGGGCCGGACCTGGACCCGCCGGGACGCGCCGCCGCCCACCCGCCCGCGCCGCCGCCGCCGCCGCCGCCGCCCGCGCCGGGACTTGAGCCCGCGGCGCCGGCGCTGAGCGGGCCCCCACCGCCCGAGCGCCCCGCAGGCCCCGGGGCGGCCGCTCGAGTGGTTTTTGCAGCCGCCGCCAGGCCCGCGCCGCCGGAGCCCCTCCGAGGAGCCGCCGCCGCCGCCGCCGCCGGGGACGGAGCCCAGGTGAGCGCGGGCCGGGCCTCCGAGTCGCCGCAGCCGGCAGAGCTGTTGGCGTCGCCTTTGTTCGGCCGGGCCCGGAGCGCGAGGGGTCGCCGCGGGTCCCGGCGGGAAGGATGCGCAGCACGGGGCGGCGGGAGGAACTGCTGGCGGCGCGGGGCCCGGGTGCGGGCGCGCGCGGGGCGAGAGGCTCGCGGTGCCCGGTGCGATCCGCACGGCAGTTGCGTGTGTGGTGTGCGTAAAACGATGCGTTGGTGAAATTGGTTCTCCGGGAGCAGTCACCCGCGCGGGTTTTGCATTTCGGATGGCATGCACGAACCCAGGCATTTTCGGTGTGGGGCCTCTCCCGCTGTTGTTTGGGGGGGGGGGGCGGTCAGAGCAAGCGCGGGCGTGCTTCTGCTAGCATGGAGGGGCCCCTTGGCCTCCCGCGGGTCTGGAATCAGGTGGGCTGCTCGCGGCGCTGCAGGCTGCGGGGCAATGCGCAAGAGGGACGGGAGCCGAACCGCAGCTGCCTGGCTCTAGGAGCGCGGAACTGGAGCACCTCGGGGGCCACCTCCGCTCCTGCGTGGCCTCGTCTGCACCTTTGCCTCGTGGATGAGATTCGTTAATAGATTCGTGTCTGTTAAATGTGCAGATGCGGATCCAAGGGTTCCCAGCGCGTTAACTCGGTGGAGAATCTTTCGCTTGCAGGTTACATTCAGCTTTGGGAATCTCACGGAAGATACAGGATTGCTGCCTCCACGTCGCGGGGCGGGGGCGGAGGAACCGCAGATCCCGGCCGCACCTCTAGCGGTGTTGGGCGCTCGACTGTCTCAGGGATTCAGCGAAATGAGTGCAACTGTCTCGAACCTCTCTACCTCTGTCAGATCAAACCTCCATTTGAGTGGTCTACTCGGTTATGTTTAGGCATGAACTACAGATTCTGAACTCAAAATGGTGCTCTGTAGATGTCCAACTTAAGCGAATTTAAGGAGTTAGTTGCAAGTTGGAGGCGTCTGGCTGGTTTAATCCATTGTGTTGCTGAGGTTCATGTTTTCTCCTGAATCCGGTGTTCACCGCGGTGTCCTGCGGTGTAGGTGGTCATTTTGATGATCGCTGTGTAGAGACTGCTACGTCTCTGAATGTAATTTGACCCCGCGGGAGGCTTATTTTATACAAGTTATTTCCTACATTTAGAATTGAGTAACTATGGGGATGAGTTGAGACACTGGAAATGTGGCTTGAGTGATCTTAGAAGACAGAGGTGGCCAGTTTGAAATGTGTAAGGGGTGCAACCATTCTGTGCATGGACTCCATACTTCCTTCAATAGTATGTGAAAGAAGAGAGGATAAAACTTAGCTCCAGACCAGATGAACTTGGTTGGCAGAGGGCACCTTGAAGAAATTTATTTCAGAATCACGGAAGTGGTGAAGGTCTTTGAACACCTTTCAGTGTGGCACACCTAGGATGCTTTGTTGGGAGAAATGATGCAAAATGAGGTTTTAAGAGCAACTAGCCCAGTTATATTATCCGAATTAATTTTTTATTGGTATTTAAACAGATGATAATTGTCTGATTAGTCATTACTTTGTTCACCAATACTGAAAGAGTTTTCTCCTATAGAAAGTTTTTAATATTTGTGTTTTCATAAGAATAGAGGTTTTAGAATCCTTTTGTCTTTCTCACATTGGGTCAATAGAAATTGATAGCCCAGAGCTTGGTGATAGTAAAAGTGTTGTTTTAGTTAAATTATACTTATTGTGATGTAGAATAATTTCTTCAAGCTAGCACTAGTTCTTCATTAAGGAGTAGAAAGGATCCGAGTCCCAGATATATGTGTATGTGTGTGTGTGTGTGTATGTATGTATGTATGTATACATGTATGTATATGTTCAGACCTGATTTTATTATGTGGATCTAGTTTGAAAAACCCAATTCTTATCTTTCATACTTATTGTTCAAATCAAAGACCTTATTGTCTTGTACATCTGATTTACTATTAAGATATGAAATTAAATAAAAGTTGATACTGAGGCTATAATAATAGACTTACTCCTAAACTATTTCGTCCTGGTTCTAGCATTTAAATATTTTAGTAGTAACTTGGGTTACACATAAGTGTTGATTTTAGGTTTTCCTCCCTACAGTGTTTATTGTTGTTGCTGTGTTTCAAGTGGCATATGTTGTAACACTTTGACAAAGATTATTTTGTAACAGGTTTATGTTTATACTTAGTTGGCTTAGGAGTTCTGGAACAAATAGTTGCCTGAGAGTGCTGATTATGAGGGAAAGTGGAGTGAACTGTTTCATTTGACTCTCAGTGATTAAAATATAACTGAACCATGGGTAGGGGGGATATAGGAAACTTTAAATTACAGTATTTCTCACCTCCTCCACCTTTTTGTTAAACAGCCGGCTTTACTGAGATAAATGTGTGCTTTCCCAAATGCTGTCATCTGGCTCACTTCCAAAACCAAGCTGGAGGAGGAGGAGGTCAGGGCTGGAGGGGGGGCAGCCTTTTTCCTTAGTGAAGAGAACTTTCAGTTGGAAAGAAATGGAAGATAAAATTCCTATAGTACTAGCTGAGAATGGGTGTTTGCATTACTCCCCAAACTCCAAATGGGGGTGATAAGGTCCTGAATGTAAACTTACTATTGGTTGACTCAAGAATGTGATGCTAATTTTAAATCCAAAAGAGAGAGATTACTAGTGAAAGTCTATTTCTCTGTTACTTGATTTGAGCATATAGAATGTCTATGACATCATACAACTTCTTTAACAATTTAACATTTAGAGAATTAGAGCCATTTTAAAGACTATTTTATGGTTTGTTTTTTTAACCTTCCCCAGTAGGAATTAGATCCATGAGTTTGTATGCATATGTTTTTGGTAATATTTACCTCTGAGTCCAGGTTTATTGTGTAAAGATGATATCTGAGAAGATTTTATAAGAAAGAAAATAGATTGGCTATGAAGTCTGAGGCTGTTCTATATATCAGAATAGCATGTGAATTAATTAAGATTTGGGACTGGAGTAAGCAAAGATTACTTAGCCAGAGCAACTGAAGCCTGTGTGGAAAGCATGAGAAACACAGAGGTGACAAGGGGCAGGTTTATAAAAGGCCTTGGAAGATGGTAAGCTGAGGGAACAGGCGGTGGGGCCCTGACCAGACAGTGCCTGGAAGGTTAAAAGTGCCTGGAAGGTTGTAAGGGGAAGAACCAGGTAACTTTGTTTCTGTTTGTTTTGCTTTTCTTTTTCTTTGATTGAAACTGTTTTGGCTTCTTACTCCTTATTTTGAGAAATTAAATGGGTTTTTACCTTTTATTCCAGCTTTATTTCAGAGGGTCTTCTGATGTTTTTGATGTAAGGAAATCTTTTCAAAAAGTATTGGTGCCTTGGTTTATTTTGTCTGATAACTGGCTTCATAGTGAAGGTGACTAGATTTTATTTGCCTAATTAGGACAGTTAACATCTCAGTAACTTTGTCTGAAGTTGTCATATATTTGAGTAAAGCAAGAAGAATATCAAATGAGAACCAGCCAGCAGCTTTTTTTTTTTTTTTTAAGGACATTTTCCAGGTTTTCTTGCTTTAAGCCAGTTTAATCATGACTAGTTACATTTTTACAAATTAACTTTATCAGGTTTTAAATTTTTGTTGGAGTATACTTGATTTACAGTGTTGTGTTTCTGCTATACAGCAAAGTGAATCAGGTGTGTGTGTGTGTATATATATATCCACTCTTTTAGATTCTGTTCTCATATAGGTTATTACAGAGTATTGAGTTGAGCAAATTAGCTTTTAAATAGTTGTGCACTCATGAGAAGAGTATTCTTTGCAAAATAATATACAATAAGCTTTCTTTAAGATGTTCTCAATCATAAACATTTAAAGAACCAGGTAACTTATACACAGCTCTCTTCAGGAATATAATTACTTAAAAATTTAAAGGTTATTTGTTATCAGAAATAACTACAAAAACCTT